AAATGAGCATCAAGCAATGCTTTTCAATGAAATGTTGCACTTGCATCCACTCATCACGGCAGAAAAAAGAAAAGAACGAAAACAAAGTCCAACCACACCCTTTGGCAGTCTATTGAAAACGAGGCTGTTTCGCTCATTTTTATCACTTACTTAACTCGGTGAATGAGAAGGATGGCAGAGGGAAAGAGCAGGGATTTTGAAAAGAGCTAAAAGATGTGCTACCATCGAGTATGAGTCGCATAAAAAGTGACACATTCTAAACAACGGCTAAATATTGTCACCATCAGCATGTCTGCTGGAGAAAGCAAAGTGGATGCCAGGCATATGATTTAAGAGGGAGCAAAAGCTGTATGCAAACGATGTTGACGAAACAAAGAGCATTCGACAATTAGGTGCAACATACTCTCTCTCTCAGGTACGTACATTAAATAGAAGGACATGCGCGATCCACAAAACCAAACTGCAAAACAATAATTATATTGACAAAAACAAAAGAGAAACGAACAAAACAAAAAAAAACACATCAAAATTGGATGAAATAAAACGATGCAAACCCGTACACAAATTGAGCATCTTTATCTCTACACGACAGATAAATGATGAGAAAGAAGTTGGAAAAATATCCTTTAAACTTAATTGAGTACACACAAAACTTTTCATGTCATCTAATTACTTCAACGACAAAATCCATTTATCATAATGACAAATTTTCATTTCGTTGCTTCGGGCAATTTTCTTTCATTTTTTCGGAATTGTCTCTGTGTGTGTGCCACTGTTTGTTCTCGCATTTTCTCTTTTCTTGTTCTTCATCGAGAGCAAAACGGTTGGTCGGTGTATGAGTGAGTGAGTGAGAGAGAGAGAGAGAGAGAGAGAGAGCGATGAGTTTTTCTGTTGTACACTTTTCTATAACATCCGATCCAAATTCTTTTATTCGCCACTGGATTCGCCTTCCTGTATCCATTTGCCTTTAATTATTCCGGTCGCCATGGAATGCGAAAACACACACAACTGCACGAAATTGGCTCAATTTAATAGACTTTTGGCCAAACACAACAATTTTGCTCTCGGTTTCATCTTCATCGCCCTAAGTAAATAAACCATTGGATCAACCAGTAATGTTCGGTTGTGTTTTTGTTTGCTAATTCGGATATTCGACTTCTCGGCTTATACCGTGTACTTCAAACGCTGAAACATATTTCATTCTCCAATGACGATCCACTTTTAATTATGTTCTTGTTTTCTCAATCCATTTTTTTTTCCACGTTCCACTCGTTGTTGTGCTTTCGCTTGGCTTAGTTCAGCCATTAAATCGGCATTATTGATTAAAAGTGGCCGAATTCGGCTCTTGGAACTTATGAACCATTGCCGAAAGGAAAATTGAATTCTCATTGCAGACAAAAATATTGAAAATCATTGAAACGTGAAGCTAAACGTTTTTTTCCTTTTCGATATCGATACGATGGGGTTTTTGGGCTCGAGCATCGAGACATTTTTTGCGAACTGGTATGCGGAAGATCAAGGCAAAATCCAATTTAACCGATTCAATTGATTAATTCATTTTCGTTCAATGGCAAAACATGTCAGATCCAGCGATGGCTTGGAATTTTTGCTGTGCAGAGAAAATTCATTTTGTATTTAAATGCACAATTAAAACCATTTAATTGGATGAAGAAAAAAAAACCTCTCATGTTGAGGCTTTGGATGAATTTACGTCATTTTTAATTACGTTATTATATACGGTTGAGGAAATTCTTTTAATCGAAATTCATTTAACAAAATTTTCTTCATACAATTTTAATGAAAGTGTTTAATCAAATTTGACCACATAAAATGGAACTGCTGCTGTGAGAATTTCGATATTTTTCATTTTGAATAATTGAGAAATTTTTTGGTAAATTTGTATGGGAATATCGAGAATACTCAATAGATTAAATTATTGATTTCCAATTTAACCGATTTATATAAATAGGTCATCAGAAATGGCCACAAATCCTATTATTGTATTTACTCCCCTTGGCGAAATTGTTCTAGCCGCCAAAAATAACGTTTAATTTACATCGTCTCAAATACTCAATCTGCATAAATTATACCGAAAATGATCCTTGCCTCGAAGTTTAGCTATTTCCTTTGGGATCAATTATAACCATTGAATATTATATCTGGAACATGGGGCATAATTGAAAAAGTACCGGCTGCAGCCACGGCTCTTAACAAATTAATATTTTAATTAATTTGCAAGCATTTAAATAATAAAGATGCGCGTGGTTTATGTACGTAATTGATCTGCAATTTGTCGGTCATAAATGTGTAATACGGTAGCTATGGTCGGGATTGACCGAGTTTTCAATGCGTTTTGTGGTATTTTTCCATGAAAAATTTTCCCCGGAACTGTCTGCATTTTAAAGTGATTTCATTTTTCAATAAAGCCGTTGAATTAACGGATTGAAATACGAAAATTGACATTTCATGCGAGCGCGCATCGATGTCATTAGTAATCCATGTATTTATGTGTGAGTTCAATTTTGTGTAATCATCGCTATGGAATCGACTTAAAGCCGTCAAGTTTTGCATAAATATCCATAAAATGACTGGAAATTATCGTAAAAACAACATTTTGCCATTAAAAATAATCACTGAATGTTATGGGCATGGGCACTGGCACTATCAAGAAGGTCGTTAATGCATATAGTGTTGGTTTAACGGTATGTGTGCCGTCATTACTGATTCCACGCTCTCTCACTCTTTATGTGTGTGCGCTTCGAAGTGTATCGCGTTGTAGTTCTTTGATAATAACCATCGGTTTTTGTGTAGTTCGTTCATTCCTTGTTGCTTTCTCTCTCTCTTTCTCTCTCTCTCTCTCTCTCACTTGTGTGCACGGCAAGTACAGATATCACGTTGGGCGAACAGGAAACAACAGCACCACCATTCATTCGACTGGCAAGAGAAGGGGTTTGGAACGAGGAAAATTCATAGCTATGTGTTTTGTTTATGGGTTATGATTATAAGAAGAGAAAAAAACACACACACATTAACCGTGTTCGTTTGTTCGGCAAAATATGCAATACGATGGAACCGAGATGAAAGCCATGTAATGGAAAAAAGGCGAAAGAGCGCAGCAACAACAGTAAAAAGTGGCAAAAAGCGTCGTAAATATAAATGTTTTAGTTGGTTATTTGCACTTTTCTTCCAATACAACAACCACACGCTCATGTCCCACCATGTATTTGCATAGCCATTTCAATGTTGGACACAGAGTGAAAAAAAAATCTCATGCTTCAGAGAACATCGGCAATATCATACACAAGTGTATACATACACAGACATGCACCGTACAAAACAAAAACTACAAGAGCAAAACAGCAATTTTTGACCTTTCGTTTTCTCATCCTATAAAAATTAAATGGACAGGAAGAAATAGCCAGGCAGCAAGTGGTCGGAACGATTGACTCTGGTATATTTTGCGCTGTTGAAATATTCAGTTGATATAACTTTTGTTGGCCGGATTTTGGTCTTGACCAAAAATGCATTGCAGATCCGGTGTCATTGCGTTTATGATTGCTCCTAAACCGCTATAATTTCTGGATTATTAATTTTTAAGCGCTGGTGAGATCGGACGAAATTACGCTCAATTCATAAGATTGAGATTAACAGGACTAGTGGAATGTCGGTGTTTTGTTATCGCATTCGATGCAGTGGACACATTCAATTGGTTGGAAATAAAATGAATTTGAAATAGAAACAAGTGCAACGGACGAGGACTTGAGGCTACTTTTCACATCGTGCTTCATTTTCGGTGCGATTTTGAAAGAACAACCAAATGCTTCAGTCACATCGAGAGAGAGAGAGAAAGAGAGAGAGAGAGAGAGCGAACGACAGGACGAACATGTTCGTCGAACATCGAGGGTCGAGTGTGAGAGAGGGAGAGAAAAAACGAGCAGCTATTGATTTCGGAAAATCGCATCAGTCGCTCACCAAATGAAATGATTTCATGTGTGTGCGTGTCTTGGCCCGTGTATGAATGGCGTGAAAAAGTTTCCTCTATATACAGAACTTTTATAGTCGCAATTGAATATACAGAACTTTTTTCCTCTCTCTCTCTCTCTCTCTCTCTCTCTCTCGTTTCACATTGTTTGTTTTGTCGAACCGAATGTATAATTCACCGATACGTCACGCATTTTTTTGCTACTGCACACAGCTCCATTCAACTGTGTTCATCTTTTTCATGTGTGTAACCGTTTTTTTCGCTCCATATTTTGTGTTAGCTCACCAGTTTTTTTTTCATTGGCTTGATTTATACCTATGTGAAGTATAACCGATTGTATGGTTGATTTTTTTTATTTGTCTCGGTGTGTATGTATGTGTGCGCGTACCAAATTTCCAGCGTATAAATTTTTCATTCATTGCTGAACATTCGAATCGACGAGGAAAAATCGCATGTTCACTGACAATTGCACATTTTCGCCCGGTCGACCACATTGAAAATTGGTTGGAAATTTTTTGCATTTCATTTTTTCGAACACGATTCATTTCCTGTTTTCATAGACAGATTAAATGTGTGCAATTCGAAACAGTAGACGCAATTGCTGAAGAGCATTTTTTTCTCTCGCTCATTCATAATCAGCCTAGAGATTCTGGTTTCAAAAAGAAAAAAAAACACTTTTTCTATAGCAAAAATAGGCTAAACTAGCCTGAATTCATTAATAAGTCTAAAATGCGGAAAAAATGATCGAGATTTCGTTGAAAAATTAGTGATATCAAGTTGAAATTCAATTGGTATTGGCAGATAGAGATGAATCGATTCATTTCAAAAATTTGCCATTTCAAAAAGAGAAATTGTTTATTTGATTTGGTTGGAAAATCTACTCGAAATTAACTGCATGATTTATGTGTGTTCATTGAACACTGAGCAGTGTCCAATACCACTGAACACTGAAAAGAGTCCGATATCACTCTCTTTATATGGAGAGAAAATTCAAGGGAATATTTTAGGGAAAACCTACCTGTGTTGATTTGGTGCATCGTTGGTAATTGGCGATCGGGCCGGATATCCAGCTGTGCGAGGACTTCCGGTCATCAAGTACTCTGAAAGAAAAAGAAAAAAGAAACAGTTGTCAAGCTTCTGTTATCCGCACAAGATGAATGAGAGTTGAAGTAACTTTTGATGGTTGCGAAATTGATTCCAGTAAATCGGTTTTTACTTCTTTTTTTTCTATTTACTACTTCGACTATAATGGGGGCAATCGAATCAAATAAACTTCTGTTCAATGAGGCAATAACATATTTGTCGTTATGGTTATGACATTTATGCGAAGCAAAAACAAAGCAACGACAATATTGAGCTCGCCTAATCTGGCCAAGCAGAAGCGAGAGAGAGAAAAAATTGTTATTACAACTTTCAAGTATATTTTTGCTTCAATCGCTTTGGATTCAATGCGATTTCATTGGAAATGTTATTCTTCTATACGTTTTTCTTCTCTTGCTCAAATCTTTTTTTTTTTTTTCTACGAAATATCAATGGAGAGAGAATGATAAGTGGTTTTCGACCTTATTGTATTTTCGCCAAAAATCGAAAAACAACTGCAACTAAGCACAAAATATACAGTTTGTGTCGTACTATTTTACCCATCGATGTCTTAATTTCAGTTTGAGCAAATTACATCAGTGTTTCAGCAGCGACAGAGGCGGAGCATGGATACTATAGACACTCAGCAAAATAATTTAAGCTTTTCTTCATCTCCCCAATAAATATAATTTATTCATTTGCTGCTGTACAAATGCGAGACGTTTCCATATGAGTGGAAAATTGAAAGCCGGCTCAATGAGAGAATATTACATTTTCCATGTTTACAATATGAATAAATGAAACACGAAAGTATTTAATATCAAATAATCGAGAAATGTGCACTTAATATTGAAAGGGGCACGTTTTTCATCTGAAACGAATCGACAGGAAAGAGAAAATCGGGCAAAAAAAAAATTCAATAATAGCTCGCAATTTTCGTTTTCCATTCGATTTGGTCTTGGTTACCTAGAGTCGCTGAAGCGTATTTGATTATGCTGTTGGGGCGGGCGGGCGGACAAGTGGCTGTGTAGTGATATAACGTCGAGTAGAAATCGAATAATTCTACTGTCAATCATACACGAGCTGTGTGTGTTTTCATCCAGTGCGCCAATTCATCGATAAAAATCGAATAATAACTCCCGTGTTCGAGCGGCAAAATGGAAATGCGAGCGACGAGAAGAAGATGAAAAAGGCAACAACTAAAAGTGGAATCATCGAATTTGTATCGAAGACACTTCGTAAACATGCTCTTCGAAGCGAAAGGATTCTCAAATAATCCATCTGACGAGACAGCACACACTCATCTCAGCTTAGTGTTGGTGCGATTTTCTCTCGACATTTGTTTTTATTTGCTGTGTACTGATGCGAGCCAGCTACAAATAAAACACACAGCAGAATGCGAAAATCACTCGCTCACACACAAAAAAAATTTTCGTTGCTGCACATATGTTTATCTTATCCACATGATTTGCTCGTCATATACATATATGTTATTTGATGCGTGCGTATGTATGTGGATGTCACGAAACGCGAAAATACTTTCCCTTGTTGCCTGAACGCCATCGATAAGACGAGGTTGAATAATACCAAAGGGTTAGACACGAATTCATACTCGAAAAACACTCGCCGATACTAGAATCTACTCAGTGCTACTCGGTGCCATTTGGTTCAGTGTAATGTGTATACTGTCGAAGAACTGTCAACGTCTACTGAGTGTTTTGAGTAGTTTCGAGTTTACATTTAAAATACATAGATGTACTCGGTACTACTCGGTGCAAAATGAGACAAATTCGTCAAAACTTGTACGTTAAAGAACTGCGTCTATCCCCTTGAATAATACCGTTTTTGGTTTCTTTAACAATGTGTTCGTTTTATCGTTTTGCGCTGCACTTTTTGTGCTCCCTCAAGGTACCATTCCTGCGTGTGTTTATGTGATTTCAACCCGATGACAAGTCGATAGGTTAATATCACAGGTAAATATGGATGATTTTCGAAACAATCTACTGCTTTCACAATCAAATCGTTGAATGCTTTTGAATCATGCTTCTCTCCAATTCATAGCTCATCATTTACTTTCTTTTTTCTCTCTCCACAACCATCGCACGTAGACGAAGAAGACACATGCCCGAAAATAAAATTGTAAGCTGTAAATGTCTCTGGTAAACAAAACGATTCGAAAATGTTCGTACAATTCTACATCAATTTTATTGCTGCTCCTTTTTGCCAAGATAAAAGCAATATTGGACCAATTCACGTGTCATATTACAGATAATCTGTCGATATATTTTATTGATAAGCGAAAAAGGTACCGTATCAAAATTTGATCAGACGAATATGATGGGCTTTAGCTGTCGAAAAGAAAGAGAGAGAGAGAGAGAGAGAGATCGTGAAAGAGATTGGTTCTTTCAGGCAATCCTTGCACGGACGACACTCAAAATCAACATCAATGGCTTCGAATTGATGTAAATATATGAAAATGCGGTGAAAATAAATGGCAAAGTCTGTGGAAAACATCATCACACACGCTTCCGTACTGTTACGCAGAGAAATCGAAAGAAAAATCTCAGCGAAAAAGTCAAAATAAACAACAGTGAGAAAAAAGCGCCCGCCTGAGAAGAGCTGAAACGATGAGACGATGCGAATGACAAAATGTATACAAATTTATGCAAATTCAAATATAATATCGGAGAGAAAGGCAAATAACAGCAAAGGCGAATGCAAAAAAACAGGCACGGAGGCGAACGAATGAGTGAAAGAGAGAAAGAGAGCGACAGATCGAGAGGAAGAAAATGTGATGTATAAAATTACACATCATCGTTATTCCACCCAATGATACACACAGCATTGAGTTTGTGTCGTTTAGAACCAATATAAATGCAATTTATGCTGATTGGAAAAGGTGTTACACACACTCTCTCCCATCGGATGTGTGCTAGATTTTTTTTTTTGCCTTACGTCGGTTTTTTTCCTCATTTTCTATGCGCGCGAACGAGAGAGACAGACTTGTCGACGACTCAATTGAGTGTGCTTTTAAAAAATATGTTTCCATTTGCAATTGAATGACAAATTCATATGCAGGCAATTCGTTGTTATCAAATCTATTTTTATGAACATGATACAGTGTCGCACTTGAAATGAATCTGATTGAAAAGGTGAAATAAATGCCATATACACCGTAATGGACGCGAATCCAACGCATCGTATTCAATTTACTGATATAAATCTCTGATTCGCTCTATAAAAAAGCTATTGCATTGGGTACTTTTATTTTCTCCTTTTTAAATTTCATTTGAACGCAATTGCTTTCGCGATATTGTCATCCGTCGTATCTTTTGAGTAGAACTATTTTGCTTTGTATAAGTTGTATTTTTTTTCTCGCTAACCACCCTCTCTCCACTCCATCTATCTGCTTGAAAACATCAAAATTACACTCGTACAAAAGAATAAAACTTGAATGATATTTTCTAATAAGATTTGTAATTTATATTTTTCCTTGAGAAGAATTCTTTCCGGCATTTCAACCATCTTAGTGGTACTTACTTGTGAATTAATAGAAGAACAGGTTTATGACGAAGAAGAAAACGGAACGATTGCAATAAGAAGTAGTATTGAACTACTCGTGGCTCGTCAACATTCAATGAAACGATATGATCTTATTGCAAATATAAGCAGCAGATTTTTCTTTTCCATTCATTTTGAGCTTTCACTTTGCTCACACAAGAAAGTAATTCTGATTGCACGGTCGAAGGAAAAGAAAACCACCGATGTAATATTTTTCTCTAAACTTTGCCGCAATGAAAAATGAATTGAATGACAATGAAAAGAGGAGGAGCGACCGACAGAGTGCGCTGAAGAGGGAAAAAAGAGAGAAAAGGCCAACCAATTTCCGATGAGTCGACTGCAGTGCGGAAATTGAGTACCGCGTCGCAATATCCATCGCGTGGGAACGAAAATTGTATCACAAGAAATGAAATACGTTTAGTTTCAGTGCGCTTATTAATAGTTATTAATAGGGGAAATTGATTGAGTGCTCTGAGAAGTTGTTCAATAACCCCAGATATACAATTTATTTTCTCATTAAATTTTCAAAAAGAATGTCCGCACTCCGCATTCAATTGCTCAAGTGCATTAAAGGCAACGGACTTTGATGGTATGCGTGCAACAAACATTGATAAGCCAAAATGTAATTTAATGTAAAATGTCTTATGGTGTCTGTTTTTTTTCTCGCAACAAATGTTACGCCGGTCCCAACTGGTGAAACCGTACACTGAAGGTGAAATGGCCGCGGGGTGCCGAATAGATAAATGGTATGCATATACAAAGCCGTATGATGACAGCTGTGCAGCTTGTTTGTGTATTTACGGCGCAGCATCATTAAGCTGGTTAGTTGGTGGTGTTACGAGAGGCATATGCGATGCCCACATCAATTCCTTCAACAATCTCATTAAAATCGCATTAGTTGCTCTCTCTCTGTTTTTTTCTCGCTTCTTTCGGCCGTTGTTTTTCCTGTTGGCGCTTCCTTTTCATTAGTTATTCATTCGATGGCGTTTTTGTCATTGTCGATTTTTAGTCAAAATTACATTTGTTCTCAACCATTGTTCGCACCAAATGTATTTTCTTTGCCCTTACGGTTTGCTCTCTAGTTTTTCTTAAAAAGCATGCGTTTTTACTACTCAATCTCTCTCTCTCTCTCTTTCTCTCTCTCAGTAGCATGCGAATTTTCAGATAGTGAAGACGTGCCACTTTCATATGTACAGAGACGTGAAATTTCAGTTGTTGGAATCAAAATTGATTCTTCTTATGGTGATTTCCCACCAAATACGGTCGACAAAAGAACTAAATTATGGAACGTTTTTTCAGCTGTAGAGAAAGCATTCAATTCGTTGCAAACATTGAGTAATCGACTGAAGTGCCTCACAACTTGTATACTGAAGTACACACGCGAATGCGAGTAAGAGTAGGAGAAAGAGAAAAAAAACCAATAGCGTACAGCCATATTTATCGCTTGATGTGCTGAAAT